GTCAGGACCCCCAGAACCGCTTCCAGCCCCCCAGCCCCCCCCCCACGCACTCCAGGACATTGACAGGCTGGCTGCTGTGTGCGATGGCCACGATGAGGCCACCCGAATCCAGGATGGCGTAGTGGTGGGGGCCCTCCAGCATCCGTGCCCACGTGTAACCCCCATCATCCGAGATGTACACATCAGGGCTCATCACTGAGATGGCCCCCCCAACACTCCCTGGGGAGAAAAAACAACAACGAGGGCAGCAATGAGTGTTGGGTGTGGGGATGTGGACCCCACTCCTTTCTGTGCCCCCCCCCGGTACCGTGGGCGATGACGATGCCGACGGCGTTGGGTTCAGAGAGTGGCACCATGGGCACGTTGAGCTTCTGTGAGATGCTGTAGGACGCGTGGATGTGGAGGCTGCACTGCAAGGACAAGCAGGAAACACATCAGGGTGGGCTCAGCACCGCGTGGCCCCAACGCTCCCCCATCCCCAGACCCACACCCGCCCCCAGCACGGCCCCAATCCCACCCAGGGGGGGGCACAGAGAGGGTGGGGATGGGGACACGTGTCCCTGCTTGGGGACAAAGGACGGAGCCACCTCCTCCTTGCTGCGTGCCGTCGAGTCGCACGTCGTGTTCTTGGGCTTCCGCAGCGGCACCCACTCCCCACCTCGGTCAAACGTGATGACAGATTGGATGGAGTTGTCTGCAGGGAACAGAGGGGGGCTGGCAGCACATCCCCACCGAGCAGCCCCAGCCCCACACCCCCCCCTTCATCACAGCCCCCCCCCCTCGGGGCTGCCACCTTCGGACAGCACGCTGGTGATGTAGATGCCACGCAGCGATGTGACGTTGGTGAAGTCGGTCTCCCCGCCGGTTGTGGTGTAGAGGTGACGTTCCAAGGACTTGGAGAAAACCACGCCACGGTCGTCTGACGTGTAGATGGTGCCATAGCCCGTGTCTGGGGGGGAGGGGGGATGGGGTGGTGGTAAAGTTGGGGGGGGTCCCTGGGCACCCACCGGCTCCGTGCAGGGGGAGGAAAAATCCCCACAGCTGACATGTGGCCACGCTTCATGCCAGGAATGTGCTTTCCCGCAGCTACTGTCCGCTAATTAGTTTCCTCATGAAGGAATTAATGAGAAAAAGTCCTTCCTCAAAGGCACAGCCCTGCCCGGGCTCAGGGCCCCGTGCTGCGGTGTGGAGCAGCTTTCATTGCTGCTGCTGCAGTGTGCAGGCTGCACACAGCACCCATCCCAACCCCGTCCCACCCCACCCCCACTTCATCCTCATCCTCACACCATCCTCACCCCACCTCCACCCCCATCCTCAACCCATCCCCATCCCATCCCCACCTTCATCCCACCCTCATGCCATCCCACACCTTCCATATCCCATCTCCATCCCATCCTTATGCTCTTCCACACCCTCTGTATCCCATCTCCATCCCATCCTCACCCCATCCCCATGTTCCCCTTTTCCTTGTGCCATCCCCATCCCCACTTCATCCTCATCCTCATCCCATCTCCACCTTCATCCCACCCTCGTGCCATCCCACACCTTCCATATCCCATCTCCATCCCATCCTCACCCCATCCCAATGTTCCCCTTATCCTCGTGCCATCCCCACCCCCACTTCATCCTCACACCACCCCCATCCTCACCCCATCCCCACTCCACCCCCATCCCATCCCCATCCCCACACCTTCCATCTCCCACCCCCATCCCCTCTCACCGCCCGGCTCATCCACATGCATGAACACCAGGTCGTCGTTGGCTGCCAGGATGGAGTAGAACTGCTCGTGGCCGACGGAGGGCAGCTGCGCCATGCTCCAGCTCTCACCTTGGTCCAGCGAGACGTGGATGCGCCGCGTGAAGCCCTGCAGGACCCACAGCCTCAGCCCAGCTCCTCCGTGTGCTGCCAGAGGGGCCGCAGGGGGGGGACAGCCACCTTCTCTGTCATGACAGAGGCGAAGAGGAAGCGGCCGCCCAGCCCGAAGGAGTAAATCTTGGTGCCGATGACTTTGAAGGTTTTGCCAAAGTCGGTGGTTTTCTTCAGCTCCAGGAAACCCAGGTCAGCTTCTTGGGGACAAGGGGCGGCGGGTTAACGGGGCGCCCCACGCTCTCCAGGGACAGCAATGGGGCGGCACTCACTGCAGGAGCCGTTCAGGTAGGTGGTGAAGAAGATGGTGTTGTTTGCACCCCTGGAAGAGAGCAGTGATGGAGGCAGAGATGGGGCAGCACCACCCCAGCACCGCAGACACCGGGTGGGCACTCACCATTTGGCCAAGCAGACAGCTTTGTGGATCTGCTCCCAGCGCTCCCCAAAGTCCTTGGAGACCCAGAGGCCATTCTGCAAGAGACCAATGCCACTCATCAGTGGAACGTCCCCAGCCCCAGCACGTCCCCAGCCCCAGCACGTCCCCAGCCCTGCAGCCCTACGTCGGTGCTGAGTGCCAGCAGGCGGTCGGAGTCCTGCGGGTGGTAGGAGATCTGTGCCAGGGGGTGGAAGGGCAGCTCGGTCTGCACAAAGTTCTTGGCAAAATCAGACGAGCGGAAGATGCGGCCGCCTCGGCTGCCACCGGAGACATCACCTGTCAGGATGACCTGCGGATGGGACGCAGCACCGGGATCAGCACTGAAACCTCGCCGAGCGCCAGGGTGAGGGTCTGGGGTTTGGATTGGCAGTTAAGGGTGAGGCTCAGGGGTTAGGTTAGGACTCGGGGTTTCAGTTATGGGTTAGGGGTTAATGGGTAGGGTGGGTTTGGGTCAGGGTTTCAGCTGGGGGCTTGGGTTAGGGGTTAATGTTTAGGGTCAGGGTTTCAGTTGAGGGCTTGGGTTAGGGGTCAGGGGTTAATGTTTAGGGTCGGGGTTTCAGCTGGGGGCTTGGGTGAGGGGTTGATGTTTGGGGTTGGGGTTTCAGTTGGGGAGTTTGGGTTAGGGGTTAATGTTTAGGGTTGGGGCTTCACAGCTGGGAGCTTGGGTTAGGGGTTAATGTTTAGGATCAGGGTTTCAGTTGGGGGCTTGGGTTAGGGGTAGGGGTTGATGTTTGGGGTTGGGGTTTCAGTTGAGGGTTTTGGCTAGGGCTTAGGGGTAGGGGTTAATGGTTAGGGTTTCAGTTGGGGGTAGTGGGTAGGGTTTAGGGGTTGGGTTAGGGGCTAACAGGTAGGATTGGGGGTTTGGGTCAGTTGTGGGTTTGGGGTTAACGGTTAGAGTTGAGGGTTTGGGTCAAGGCGTGGGGTTCCCACCTTCCCCGAGTTGTCGGGGCTGATGGCCATGCCAAACTCGGTGCGGATGAAGGTGTTGTTGATGAGGTTGGTGATGTCCTTGAAGGTCTTCCCATAGTCCTCACTGTGAGGGGACGGCACACGGCACAGCTGTCAGCACCACCGGGACCCCGTCGGTGGTCGGGGCTGACGCTGCCTGCGAGACCCCACCCCTCAAATCTGAACCGGGGGCTGGGGGGGGGGGGGCGGTACCTGCGGTACAGCTTGGACTGCCCAGAGATCACAATCACCCAGGGCACCTGGAAGGTGGTCAGCACCAGGATGACCTGCGGGAGCACGGCTCAGCACCGGGGATCCCCCACCCCCCCCAGCCCCTCAGCGGGGCGGCAGCACCCCCAGCCCTCAGCCCCGTCTTACCCCCGTGCTGTCGCCCACCCAGGACAGGGACACGGAGCCGCTGAGGTCATCGAAGACGCACTGAGAGAGAGAGAAGGAAGGAACGGCCTTCAACGTGCGCAGGGACCGAGAGCCCCGGGCTGCACGGCGTGCGCAGGGATGGGGACACGGAGCCCCGCAGCGACCCCAACCCCGGCGGCGGGTCGGGAGGTGGATGCGGGGCGCGGGGACGGGGGGAGCCGCCGGCGGTGGCGGCGGGGCGGGGAGGCTCCGCTCAGGAAGGGGAGGAAATGAGGCCACCGCCGCCGTCCCCATTGCTCAAACAGCGCCCGCAGCGCCGCCCCGCGCCCTCCGTGCAGGGAGGGGGGAACGGGGAAAAGGGGAAGGGATGGAAACGAGCCCCGGCGGAGCGGTGACCCCGGCGTGGACACCGAGATGGGACACCGGGCCGCACCACGCACGTCCCACTCTGCGCTCCCGGTGCGTCCCAGCGGCGCCCGTCCCCGGGTGCCAATTAGCGGCAATTAACGACCGGCCGGGCCGGCAGAGCGGGCGCACCCTGCGGGGAGCGGTGGCGGAGGACGCCGTTGGGGGCCGGGGGGGGGGGGGCGGTTATGTTGGGGCGCCCCGCGCTGGGGGACGGGGCTGTCTGTCTGTCTGTCTGTTTGTCTGTCTGTCCATCCATCCGTCCATCCACAGGCGCACGACGGAGCTGTCGGTCTGTCCGTCTGTCCCACCCAAACAGGACGGGGTCACCAACAGCCGCCGTCCGCCTTTCCGTCCGTCGGTCCCAGCAGACGCGGTCTGTCCGTCTATCCAGCCGACCTACCGGGCTTCAGAACCGATCTCTGTCTGCACCGGGGGGAGGCGGCAAGGCGCTCCCCGTCTGTCTGTCCGTCCCCCGCCCAACCCGGTGTCCGTCTGTCCCTCCCTGCCTCGCTGTCCGTCCGCCCGCTGTCACACCGGGAGGGGGGGGGCGGGGCAGCTCCTTCCCGTCCGTCCCACGGCCGCCGTGCGGTGCCGGTGTTGGGTCCCTCTCTCCTCCCGTCCCGCCGCCCGGTGTCCGCCCCGCCCGCCGCTCACCTGGTGCGTGTTGTTGCCCAGCACGGCCGCGACGCCGCGCAGCCCCCCGCAGCCCCCCCCGCCCTCCTCCTGCCCTCCGCCCGTGGACGCCCGCAGAGCCGCCGCCAACGCCACCGCCGCCACCGCCGCCGTCAGCCGCGCCGCCCCGCGCGGGCCCATGGCGACTCCGGTCGCCGCCGCCGCCCCGCGCCCGCACCGGCCTCGCCCCGCCTCCTCTCCCGTCCGCCACGCCCCATTGGTTAACGGAGCCCCGCGGCACGCCCCCTCGCCGCGCCCCCGCCAGGTGATTGGCTCAAGGGGACGTCGCTCAACACCGGCGAACCGCCTCCACCGCGGTAGCATTCCGATTGGCCCGCTTTCGCGTCAATCACGGCCGTTCTCCTCTCGCGATTGGCTCTCGGCGCTAGTCCGATGAGTGCGAGCCCGCCCCCTTCATCCGGCCCGTGAATTCTTATCCACCTAACGACAGCCCTCTGATTGGCTGAGCCCGGGGGGCGGCCGAGCGATTTTTTTGATTGGTCGAGGCGACAGGTAGCTGGGCGCGGGGTGCGCCGAACCCAACCGGACCGGGGGGGGGCGGGGGGGGAGACGGGACGACGACGACAGCACTCATAGATTTGGGGTAAAAGTCCTGATTTCGGGGATAAGAAGCGTGGGGTTTTGGGGTCCAGCTGATCTGGGGGCACAAATCGTGGTTTTGGGGGCGTAACTCCCCGCTATGGGGCAGAACAGCCGGGTTTGGGGCGCAGCACGTGGCTTTGGGGCATAACGGCGGGTTATGGGGCGGCGGTGGGAGACGCAGCGCCCGGCTTTGGGACACCGGGTTTGGTGGCACAACACCCGATTTGGGGACAAATGTCTCGGTTTTTTTTGGGGTACAGCTCGCGGTTTTGGGACACCAAGTTTTGAGCCACAGCTCCTCGTTTTAAGGCACAGCTCCTAATTTTGGGATGCCGCTCCTGGTTTGGGGCCAAAACTGCCAGTTTGAGGGCAGAACTCCTGGTTTTGGGGGCACAACTCATCACCCAGAGACCCTAAAAAGCCCTCCCAGGGGAAGCTGCCCCATACCCCCATACCCCCACGCCCCTGCCCCAAGCCCCTGAGCCCCCCCAGCTGCACACACACAGCACCATGCCACGCTCTGCCCCAGAGCAGGGCACAAAGGGCCATTCTCATCACAGGGCCGGGTTGGAAGAATCAGCTTTTTGTTCCCTGAGACACAAACAGGGTGAGGAGCAGCACAGCAGGGAGGCAGGGGATGGGGCAGCAGCCCGAGCCAGGCGCAGGGATGTGGCCCTGAAGGACAAAGTCCACGGGCACCTGCAGGGCTGGGCATTGCCCAGGCACGGCGTGGCTCTGCCCCTTGGCTCTGCAAAGGAATGGGGCAGGGACTCAGCTCAGAGCTGTCCCATTTCCTGCTTCTGTTTTGCAGCAGCAAGAGGGAAAAAAAAATTACTAGATGGGTGTTTTCCCCTCTGCCAACAGTGGGGAACAGCGTGCTGTGCCAGGCAGTGCTGGGTGGGCATCCCCACCTTTCCATTGGGATGGGAGGCACAGGGTGGGTGCTGGCAGGGCTGTGCCCAGGGCTGTGGGTGCTGTTAGGGTGAAGCTGTGGTTTCAGAGCAGTGTCAGCAAGGCGTGGGGCAGTGCTGTGCACGCTCAGCTCGTTGCCATACCTGCACTGAGCAGCAGCTCCTGGGCACCGTGCGGAGGACACGGATGGCAGCAGGAGGTGGTAAGCAGGAGCAAAAGCAACGTGTTCTGCTCAGCAGGTGAGCAGAGGTTCACCACTCTGCACTCACAGGTCAGTGCTGCAGCAAACAGGAGTGCTGTGTCCTCCACGAGAGGGAGACTCGTGCCTGACCCAGGCAGGGACTGCTGTGCTGATGCTGTCCTCACCTGCTCTGTGCTCAGCCCTCAGGAATCCCCCATCCCCCCTCCTTGCATGGAACCCAGGATAGAGTAACAAAATGATTTATTGTCATTTCCTCTTATTGTAGAGATCCATTATGTACAGAGACCGTAAAAAAACCATAAGAGCCTTCTGAGAAGAGCAATTACAGATGCTGCTGGAAATAAAATCACAGGTACTGGAAGGAACTGAGAGTCAGTTCGCTTTGATCGGGGGAATGAGCCTTTGAGGGAGTCTCTGTCCCTTTCAGATATCTTTGATGACCTCTTCCAGCTCCTCTTTCGTGTACATGTGGAACTTCATGCCCGGCTCCACGGTGGCAAGCTGAAAGAGAAGGAGCAAGGGGTTAAGTGTGCCCACATATGTGAAGTGACAGCATGGGGCAGGGAACAGAGAGCAGCCGCAGCAGACAGAGCAGCTGTTCCTTCCCTGCTGCCTGATCTGCCAGCCCAGCAAGATCATTCCACCCCGTAACACGCTCTTTGATTCCCTAAAATAGCAGCCTGCCACAGAAATAGCTTTTAATTGACTCAGTCTCCTCATAGTAGCAGTGGAAGGGAACATTTATGGGGAGCACTCAGGCCCTGCTGCTGCTTGCTGGGGAAGGATGCTCTGCTAAGGGAGCTCCTCGGGCTGCAGCTCAGCCCTGCAGCCCCACCTCCAGAAACTGGGCAGTGCTCAGCAAGAGGACGGGACAGCAAAATCCTCAAAGGAGGATTGCAGATTTGCTCTGCCAAAGTGCATTCTGGTTCCAGTGCTTTGTAACTGCCTGCTGTGTGACCAGAGCTGGGCACAGCGCCCTGCCCAGGCAGCTGGGATGCATCACCAGGACATGAGGGACTGCACAACAGCAGCGCTGCCAAAGGAACGCACGTGGGACTCCTGTTTGTACCCAGCATGGGAGCCCAACACCCCGGCAGCTGCTGCAGGCACCAAGCACTGCTGGAGCTCTCGGGGATGCTCACAGATGGCATCTGGAGTGCCCTGTGTGCATGGCTGCAGGGATGAAGTGCCCTCAGCCAGCATGCTGTGACTGCCCAGCTTCTATGGGGCACACTGGGCTGAGTCAGGGACTTCCAGATGCCACTCCAGGTAGCCCAAATCAGGCACACGTGCTGACCTGGCACCAAAACTCCACCAAACCATTCCCTTACAGCCTTTGCGGGGAATAATTCATGTAAAAGCATAAAACCGTTTCAGGCTCCATTGCTGCCCGTGGATTCAGCTCTCCCATCACCACATTCCCTGTCCTTCCCCTTGCTGCAACGTGGAAAATCCCCACGCAGGAAAGAGGGAATAAAAAGTGGAGCAGCGCACAGTTGTGTAAAGCTGGAAAGCAAAGCAGTTCCGTCAGTGAAAGATTTTCAACCAGAAGGGTGACTTGAGTCAATGGTGACCTTTTAATCCTCAGCACATTCCTCTCGTGCTTAACCCCAATGTGATTCCTCCATAGGTTCACAGCCCTGCCAAGCACAGTTAAGCCCTGTCAAACGGGGACGTGCCATAAGGATACTGTACATGCAGCACTGCCTCAGTTCTCTCTCACTGTACAGCAGAGGAGCCCTGAAGCTGCTCAGGAACGAGCTGCTCTGCGTGTGATGGGGTGCAGCTGGGAGGCAGAATGCAGCCTGGCATCATTTGGAGGGAGTGTGGGGCTCCTTCCCGTTCTGATGAAGGCAGTTAAGCACGTCAGGAGAGCCTCCAGCAGCAGCAGTTAATAAAAACAACGGGCTGCACTACTTGAAGGCTGTTTGGGAAGCGGACTCCCAGCGCTCAGAGGACAGGAATGGGAGAACAGCAGGAGCAGAGTCAGAACGACGTGATTCTCAAAGGTCTGGCATCTCATAGCCTGCCAGAAATAGAAGCAAACTCTATCCACCAGCCTTGCTCATCATCTATCCGTTATCACTAACGAGCTGGAAAGGTTCTGTTGGTTTTTATGTTAACCATTAGTACCTGAGCAGCAGCACTACGGCCCAAGGAGGCTGCAGGGACAGCACACACCTGGCTCACACTGAGAGCTGCACCGTGAGAGCTGCAGCTTGGCGAAGCATTCATTCCTGGAGGCTTCACCTCTCCAGCCCTTCTGCCCAAGGGATTTTTGGCCACCATCCCAGCCTGAATATAGCAAGTCCAGGAGCTGTATAATTTTCATTCCTTCTAATATTACGAGTAGCAGGGGAAAAAAGAATGGCTGAACACAGGGGAAGAAAAAGTGATCCTGCTGGCACGGCAGCTGGCTCTGTGTAAGGGCAGGAGGGGCTGTGCTCCCCCCCCCACATGCAGCCCAAGGCCCTGCAGCCCAGGAGAACTGCTTGCACCAGCACTCCTGGACCAGCCTGGCACGTGGACCTGGCTGCACACATCCAGAAACCAAAAATCAAGCTCCCAACACTTCCCAGTCCACGCAGCATGCTAGGAGCAGGCCGTTCAAATTGCAAGACCGGCCCCAGGCATGCTGCTCACAGAGCCCCAGTTACCTCAATGTTGGTTGCATTCAGTTTCTCCTCCATAACTTGCTTCAGGATGACGAGGGAAGATTTGATGGCTTCTTTCAGCGTCATGGACTGTAAAACAAACCACTCCCTCACTGCACTGCTGATGCTCAAGCAAGCATTTGTTCTGTGTTACCCCTTTAACTCCAACAGCGTGCTGCTCTCCCTGCTTCTTCTCTCTAATCCCTTAAGCTGCCACTGGCAGTAAATTTAAAAGCTTATCAAGTTATCTAGTGTATCAACAAGAGATCAAAGCAGACTGTTTGGGAAGGACAGTGACAATTTCAAGGATGGCGACTTTCTGCTTCTGTATTCGCTTCTTCTAAAGCTTAAGAGCTGTTAAGCTGGGCACACAAACCTTCCTGTCAGGAGCAGGGCACGAGGGTCTGCTTCCCTTCACCAGTTACTGCCTATCAAGCAGCTCCCCCCACGAGCTGGGCTCCTGGCAGAAGCCTTTGTGCTTTAATGACACAAATCCCTGCATGAGGGGAGCTAGAGCCAGAAGGCTGCACAGCATTCAGATGGATGATAGCTGTGTGTGCAGCAACTGCACTGGGAAGATGGTGAATGAGCCACGAAACACAGAA